CTGGTCTATTCGGGACGCGAACTGGCGTTGGATGTGTGAGCCTGTGTGTTTAGGGTGGGGGGTGAGGGGCGCGCCGGGCCTCGTGCTCGCGTAGAAGGGGCCGGAGGGCGGGGAGCCGTTCAGCTTGGTCATCCTGAACCCTGGGGGCTGGCGGGCGGCTTGTGCGGTTTCGGAGGGCCAGGGGTTGTAGAGCGCGGCTAGGCTGGAACTCGGGGCCGTGGGCGCGTGTGAAGGACAGCGGCAGGAGGCACCCGGGCTCCGGCCGGGGAGCGGTATGGCGGGGTGCGGCGCTAAGAGATCCGAGTAGACGAGTCTAAAGAAACCGTGAGGCGGGGGGTGGGGCGCCAGGCCTCGGGTGGGGGGAAGGGGAGCGCTATAGCGAGGCTTGAGAGGGCGCCGCGCCCAGGCTCCGCCCCTCGCGAGGCGGAAGGGGGAGCAGGGGCGGGTCCAGCATAGCTGGGGGCCTGCTGGCCTGCCTGAAAGACATGGGAAAGCAGGGGTTTCGCTTGAGATCGCCAATGTATAGAGGTGGGGTTTTACACAGACTCTTTCCTAAGTGCCTTGACTCAGCTTTTATTGCTTTCACAGATCCACCTCCGACCCTTAAGCCAGAGACTCAGGTGAGGTTTTCCTTATCTTTGCAGCCTAGTGTTAGTGTCTTACCCCTCTTCCCAGTCTTCTCTCCCTCTCCCACCTTTTCCAGATTCCTCACTCCTGGGACTGCGCCTTTGGGAATGCCCCTCTTAAACTACACGTGATAAAAATTTCCTTCCTTTCAGCCACCAGAGAAACGTCGGAGAACAATTGAAGATTTCAACAAATTCTGCAGTTTTGTCTTGGCCTATGCTGGTTACATCCCCCCTAGCAAAGAGGTAGGGACAGGAGATGAACAGATTTGAGAGTGGGGCCTAGGACTATAGAGGGGGCTACTGAGCAAATGGGATTGTGTTACTTTTTAGGAGAAGCCTACCAGAAATTATAGGTAAGACTAGGGCAGTTAGAAACTGCCTCTAGTAGGAAAACTAATATCTGGGATGAGAGTCGGGTTATCAGAGATAGGTGGCTTGAACAGCCATGAATAGTCTTGGGGTGCTGTTAATGGAAGGTGCTTTTGGATAAATTTTAAGGTGAAAATGGTAACGACTGAGACTATACAGAAAGGAAGCTAAAGAAATGCTCTTGTTGAGAATACAATGTTGCAAAGGCAGTGGGTATTTGGGAGATGGCTCGAATTTAAGGGCAGAAGTAACATGGAGGTGCTTAAGAAGAATTGCTGGTGGGAATTGGGGTGGGGATAAACTTTCCGAACACAGTGAGATTTGTGGTTTTGGCAGGATATTTTGGGATAGATTAGTCCCTGGTTTTTTAGCTGGGTTTGTAGAGAAACTGAGATGACTTTGGGTCCTCTGCTAATCTTAGTCTTATCTGCCTTTTAAGGAAAGTGACTGGCCAGCCTCTGGCTCCAGCTCTCCATTGCGAGGTGAGAGTGCAGCAGACAGTGATGGCTGGGACTCGGCCCCGTCAGATCTCCGAACTATCCAGACCTTTGTTAAGAAAGCAAAGTCATCTAAGAGACGGGCGGCTCAAGCAGGTCCCACCCAGCCAGGACCTCCAAGGTCCACTTTCTCTCGTCTGCAGGCCCCTGACAGTGCCACCCTGCTTGAGAAGATGAAGCTCAAGGACTCTCTCTTTGATCTAGATGGGCCCAAAATGGCATCTCCACTGTCCCCCTCATCTCTGACACATGCCTCCCGGCCCCCTGCTGCTCTCACCCCAGTGCCCCTTTCTCAGGGGGACCTCTCCCAGCCTCCTCGAAAGAAGGACCGAAAGAACCGAAAGTTGGGGCCAGGAGGGGGAGCTGGCTTTGGGGTGCTTCGAAGGCCTCGGCCAGCCCCTGGGGATGGGGAAAAGAGATCTCGAATCAAGAAGAGCAAAAAGCGGAAGTTGAAAAAGTCAGAGCGGGGTGATAGACTCCCACCTCCTGGGCCTCCCCAGGCACCCCCCAGTGATACAGACTCTGAAGAGGAGGAGGAGGAGGAGGAAGAGGAGGAGGAGGAGGAAGAGGAAGAAGAAGAAGAGGAAGAAGAGGAGGAGGAGGAGGAAGAGATGGTAGCGATGGTAGGAGGTGAAGCCCCAACTGCAGTGCTCCCAACACACCCTGAGGCTCCTAGGCCCCCTGCTACAGTGCACCCTGAAGGAGCTCCTCCCACTGATAGTGAAAGCAAGGAGGTGGGCAGCACTGAAACAAGCCAAGATGGAGATGCCAGCTCCAGTGAAGGGGAGATGCGGGTCATGGATGAAGACATCATGGTAGAATCAGGTGAGAAGTTTAGGGCTGACCAGGGGAAGCTGGGATGATGGGCATGGGGCTGTCGTGGATCCAAGAGCTTAGAACACCAAACCTTCTTTTCCCCCAGGTGATGATTCATGGGACCTGATCACGTGTTATTGTCGAAAGCCCTTTGCAGGGCGGCCCATGATTGAGTGCAGCCTGTGTGGAACATGGATCCATCTCTCCTGTGCTAAGATTAAGAAGACCAATGTCCCTGATTTCTTTTACTGCCAGAAATGCAAGGAACTGCGGCCAGAGGCCCGGCGGTTAGGAGGTCCACCTCCCAAATCTGGAGAGCCCTGATATCACCATCTCTAGGCTGGAACTTCCAAATGACAAGACTTGGGAACTGAGCTTCAGGGTCCTCAGCCTATCCCCTGAAGCTTGGATATTGTCCCACCTCCAGGCAGGAATTCCCAAGGGAGACTGGTTTGGCAATGTGTTCCTATCCTAGTCTCCTTTACCACCGTATGGACTTAAACTCAGACCCATTATATTTGGGGGTGGGAAGCTGTCTGGGTCCCTAGACACTTAATCTCTGTCCCTTGGACCTGCCACCCTTCACTTTCTGGGCCAGGGTTGGAATTGGGATGGGATGGGACAGTTGTCTATAAAACTCTAGTGTAAATATAGCACTCCCTCCTCTTCTATCTCCCCATTTATTCTACACCAGTTGTATTTTTAATTTTGGACTTCCCCTTTTGGGCATGGCAGCTCAGAGGTGGATTACCAACCAGCCTGGCTAAGGGAGGAAGGAAAGCAGGTGACCATTCTCTCACCTCTTTTGTTTTTAATAATATTGGCCGGCTGTTTGTACAGGAAGCCTTCGTGTTGTAAATAAAGCAGAGTAGGCTCTTTTGTGTTTATAGCCCTCACTGTGCTGCTTGGGAGGGTGGTTTCAGAATAAATGGCAGAAGACCGCTGAAGGTGGGCCTGAAACCCAACTCGATGTAAAGCTCAAGCTGAAAATGACCTGGCTCTGTGCCTTTCCCCACCAGCCCTGTCTCTAGGAACCCCACAACCCCACCCTTAACTACACTCACGTGCGCTTAAGCGGGTTAGAGTTGCTTGGTGCGCCCCACCTGAGTGGGATTTAGCGGGGTGGGGGTCGGTTGCCTATCCCATGAGGGCACAGGTCAGTTTAGCTAGGATAGTTGGGTGACGCCGGTGGAGACACATTTGGGGGCGGGGCCGTTGAGGATTGGGAAACCGTTGCTGGAGATGGTCACGTGTGGGTGGTTTCAGGCCGTCACGTGACCTAAAAGTCATGTGATCGAGACGCTAGGATCCGGGTGGGTCGACTTGGGCCACGTGATGTGGGGGAGGTGGGCGGGACCTTGGAGGTTGTTGGCGGCGGCGGCCGAGTCCGCGGCTTTCGGTCGCGCCTCACGGCCCGACACCCCGCCGACACCCTGCAGATCCTCCACGGATCCTCCACGGATCCCCCACGGATCCCCGCCTTCTTCTTGTACCATTCTTGCACTGGGGTTGGTCTGTCCGCACTCTCGTGTCGGTTTGCAGGTTTGCGCAGGCGCGGCGGGGACGATTAGCCCCTTTGGGTGGGCGGTGGAGCCCGAGAGCGCGCAGGCGAGACCATGGCGGGCAGCGGCGCGGGGGTCAGTGGTGTCGGAGAGACGAAGGTGATTTACCATCTGGACGAAGAAGAGACTCCCTACTTGGTGAAGATCCCTGTCCCTGCCGAGCGCATCACCCTTGGCGATTTTAAGAGCGTACTGCAGCGACCCGCGGGCGCTAAGTACTTTTTCAAGTCTATGGATCAGGATTTCGGGTGAGCGCAAGGCCTAGACTGCGACTGATGGGGGCTGTGCTGGAGTTGATTGGGTAATAATTAAGGAGCACAGGTCTAGTCTAAGCCATACTGGGGTCATCTGGGCTACGGTGGAGCAGATTGTACTATGCCAGGGTAGACTGGATATCCCTGGACGGACAAGGTTATAGTTGGAAAGATTGAGGCGCACAGAGCTAGCCGGGAGAGGACACACTGAGCTATACTAACCCAGATTAGAGAAGATTATGCTATACTGGAATAGAGTTGGGCGTACTGGTTCATTTGGGGTCACTTTGGACTGTAGTGAGGTAGATTGCTCTGTCCTCTGGTAGTGTAGTACATTCTTAATAGTCCTGTAGCACACAGGGATATTGTTGGTTACTGTGGAATCTCCTGATGTAGATGGAGCTATATTGGTGCAACTTGGGATGTTCTGGGCTATGTTAGGGCAGCCAGGATTATTCTAGGATATTCTAGTTTGTACTAATGCAAAGAATGCTGTATTGCGATGTTTTAGGCAGTTCTGGAGTAGATCAGGCTATGCTGGAGAACTTGGGCCATTCTGGTCTCTACTGAGTTGTGCTGGTTAATCTTAGTTTGTATTGGGGCCTAGTTTTTATTGGGACACTCAGTAGAGGGCAGACAGGGCTTTGGAGTGTGTGATAGTACAGACAGCTGTATGAGTATATTCTTGTCTATATTGGTGCAGACAGCTGCATTTGGGGACATTCTAGACTGCTGGAATAGATTAGGCTATCTTGGGGGTAATTTGGGACATTCTGGGCTGGACTGGGACTTTAAAGGATGCAGAGTAAGCCCTTTGGTGTTTATTGCCTTTGGGACTGAATCTTCTGAGTCCTCAATCTCAGCTCTTGAAGGCAAGCTGGATTAGGCTGGGATAGCCTGGGTTTTAGGAGAGCTGGGCTCTATCTAGAAAGATTGTTCATGGTTGAGAAAGTGGGACTGCCTTGGAAGTTACGTTGGATATAAATCAAGGTTCTTCTATTTGTCAGCAGTGTTAATTGGGCAATTTTTAAAACTTTCGTGTCTTGATTTCATCTGTGAAATGGAGATAATCAGAGTAAAATGCCTAGACAGGTGCATGCCTAGTACAGGTGCATGGTGTATGTTAAATTCTTGGTCAGTGATAATTGTCAGTATTGAGTCTGACTTGTCAATAAACTAGGTTATGATGATACAGAATGGAATAACTTGTCAGGCCAGGCTCTGCTGAGATGGTATTATGTTATGAAGAATACTGCATTATGCTGAGACAGATTGGTAGTGACTGAGCTGTATTGTGACATTGAAAGCAAATGTATTAAATTGGTATATATCTAGGCTTCTAGAACCATATTAGGCTAAAAGGTTATTCAGAAAGGATGTCCTATTTAGGGGTGAAGATGTGTGTATGTGATAGAGTTTCTGTTCAGGGCAGAGAGCCTCGTAGTTCATATCTATATTCTTTTAGTCAACAAGTATTCATTGATTACCAAGTGTCACGTACTTTGCTGTGTGGCCAGAACATGGTGTTGAACAGAATAGGCATTAATGTTTTCATGTGGTGGTTGATAAGAAGGGGCCCTGGGGAGAGATCTGTGGAGCCATACCTGCAAGTAGTCCAGTGAAGTCCAATTCATTGCAAGGAACTCATGGGAGAGGTGATCCCCCAGTGCTAGGCAGAACAGATTGTATGATGCAGAGTTTTGTGCCAGGTGAGGCACAGGGGAGTGGGAAGCCAGGCCTCACCTCCCTTTGGGAGCTCTCAGCAGAGTGAGGAAGTACCATTTTTTGGTCTAATGAGTATTTTTACTTAGGCAAAGATAGCACACTTAGATAGCTCTTTGGAAGTGAGTGAGAGAAAACTAAGGAAAGCATAAGAGTAGAGACTTAGATGAGGATCAAAGACTTTTTTAGGGAGGGTGTGTGAGGAACAGGGTTGAAATTGAGATTGAGAGGAGGCTGCCAGCAAGGCTTCTAAAGTTAGATATTTTGGGCAACCAGAGTAACCTTAGGGGATGGCCTTTGAAATTGGACTGAGAGTTTGAATCAGATTCAAGGAGATCTTTGGAGCAGCATTGAGCACCCTGCAGGTGAGCTGGGGAGTAAAGGAGAAATGAAGAAAGGGAATCGAGTTTGGCAATTTCTTAGGTGTAAGAATGAAGTATTTTAGTGTGAGAGAGCACTTGGACAAGCTAAGAGAGAGTCAGCATCCTTGAGCTAGATGAAATTAGGAAAAATTTTGAATGGGGATGGTAGTCGGGGAAGCTGGTCCAGTCTCACTGACTTTCATCCCTCTCTCGGCAGGGTGGTGAAGGAAGAAATTTCAGATGACAATGCCCGCCTTCCCTGCTTCAACGGAAGGGTGGTTTCCTGGGTAAGGAGCCCTGATTTTGAGGGCTCTGTCCCTCCTGCATTGCCAGGCTCCTCCAAGCCTAAGTCTGGCCTTATAGCTCAACCCCTGCTTAGTCGTTGGAGGCCCTGGCTCTTGGCTTCCCTACCTGTTTGGAAAGCGAGCTGGAGTCCCTCAGCCTTCTTCTGGAGCCCTCTAATGCTTGTTAATGCTGTTTTGTGTTTTACTCCAGGCTCTCTCAACCTTGTGCCCTTTTCTAATCCTTTCCCTTACTCCTATCTCATATACCTTACTTCCCAATAGAGCCGTTTTTGTTTTTGTTTTTGTTTTTTAATCACTTACACCCTTTAGCTCGTGTCATCAGATAACTCCCAGCCTGAGATGACTCCCTCAGCTCAGGAACCTCGGACAGAACTGGCACCTCCACCCCCACCATTACCCCCTTTGCCACCAGAGAGGACCAGTGGCATTGGGGACTCTAGACCTCCATCCTTCCAGTGAGTCCTTGGGATTCTTGAGTCCATAGGAGGGAGGTGAGGAGGGAATCCACGCCCCTTGGGAGGGGAAGCCAAAGCTTTGGAGCCCTGTCCCACTGACTCAGATTGGCAACTATCTTTGCCCATCTAGCCCTAATGTGTCGAGCAGCCGGGAAAATCTGGAGCCTGAGACAGAAACAGAGTCAGTAGTGTCTCTGAGGCGGGAGCGGCCTCGCAGAAGAGACAGCAGTGAGCATGGCGGTGAGGGGGCCAGGCGCTGAGACTGGGTAGACTGGAGTTGGGAAGGGGTTGGCTAAGACCCAAGTCTTCTGAGGGTAAGGTGCATGAAGCCTGGTTCCTGAAGTTCTTATTCATACTTAGCTGGGGGCCACAGGCCCAGCGGCCCCTCTAGGCTGGAGCGCCACCTGGCTGGGTACGAGAGCTCCTCAACCCTCATGACTAGCGAGCTGGAGAGCACTAGCCTAGGGGACTCAGATGAGGATGATACCATGAGCAGGTATGGCTCCACAGATATCTCCTCAGGGCACCAGCCCCTTCTTTTGAGCCAATCCTCTC